TCAAATAACAGCTGCATCGTATTTTTGTAATAAATGCACATACATGTCAGTGCAAAATCTCTGCGCAGAGGAAAAGGGAAAGGAAACAAGTATCCTAAGCATAGTTCTCCAGATCTTTTCTCTATCTTCCCTCCTCCTCTCCCCTACTTTTGTGAGGGCAAGACCATGTTTGATTTCTCCTGAAAAAAGAAGAAAGATACATTGCACCAGAACAACCAAAACTTTGTTTCTGTGGTTCAGGGAAACACAGGTTAACACAAATGAAGCCCAGCAGCTGTGTTAAAGAAGCATGCCCATCGCCTCCCTGAGGAACTAAGGCACTGTCTTACTGTTATTGCATGTTCTTATACTACAGTAAAACATGCTCTAGAGTAGCGGTCTCCCAGCTGGGGGATGAACATCCCAGGGGTGTGCAAGACAATCCACTGGGGTGCCAGAAGAAAATGTTACAACTTCTGTTTATTTTTTATCTAAAAAAGTAAGAAAGAAATCAAGTTTTACTAATATTTAATATGTCTTGACAACAGCACCCTCCTTTCTTCTGCGTGTCAGATGGTCGTGCATCACACAGACAGCACATGAAGTATCCTCGGGGAGGAGTGGGTCCCTCACAATGCAGACGGGGGTTGACAGTGGCACTCTCACTCGTTCAGTCACTCTCAGTGTATTGTGACATGTTGCAGCTCACTTGTGCTCAGTTAAGTGGATATATGGATTATATCATCGACTTGTAACTAAACTAACACAAAATTACCAAGCGGCTTACAAAGGTTCCTGAAAAAAAACTTGCAGAAGGCAATACTAATAATACAAGCACAAACAAACAAGTAAGTTGCAGAGCTGACACTTCTGCTCCTAGTAGGAGACCTTCATCAACTATATTGCATGGTAGCATCAGTGACTATTTGAAATACGAATTTACATGAACTATTGCTAACAACGAACCTCAGTTCAGGCGAATACTGTGCCTTTAGGTGTTAGCTCATAGTAGTATGAAGCCATGAGGATTAGCATGGCATTTAAAAAATAACGATCCAGGAGAAACTTTTACAATATTTTCAGCAACGTTTAAAGTCACGCTATACTCCACACTGGCATCACATTTCATAGAAACCATTGCAGAAGGTTTGAAGAAAGAAGTATTAGAACAAGTTATGGGGTGTGGGAGGTTTCTTATACAGTTGGATGAAAGTACAGGTGTTCCTAACCTGCCTCGGTTTATGGTATTTGCTAGATTTTTTAAATGATGAAATACATGTAGAACAACTTTTTTGAGAGTCACTAAAGGAAAGATGTACTAGAGAAGATATATTCCCAACAGTAAACAGTTCCTTTAATAAAAACAATGCTTCATGGAAAAAATGCACGTGTAACCACTGATGGAGCGGACGCTTTGACTGGAATAAAAAAAGAATCCCAGGATAAGGTTACAGCAATAGCGAAATTCATTCACTGGATCACACATGGGCAACCTAATGCAGCAAGTAAGTAGGAGCCAGAAGTGTGTAAGGGCTACAAGATGTCATCGATGTGGTTAATTTTATAAAAAACAAGACCTTTCAATACTCCAGTATTTGCAATACTTTAGAAAGAGATGGGGAGTCACCATGAAAGTCTTTTGCACCACAGAGGTTCACTGGTTACCTCATGGCAAAGTGCTTAAAAGTTTTGTCAAACTTAAAGAGGAGTACACACTTTCCTTTCACAGAAAGACAAGCAAGTGTTCCTAATCTTCTGACCTTTTCTGTGATGAAAAGGGCCTGTCAGTACTATGTCACCTAGGCCAATATTCTAGAAAAATAAAAACATTTAATCTGTTCCTTCAAGGTAAAGGTGACCTTTTAACAATGAGTGAGAAAATAACTGCTTTTTAAAGACATTTGTTGTATTGAAAGAGCATTCTGAAAACATAAGTTCGGAAACATTTCCATCATCATGTGATTTTCTTGTAGAAAGCAGTGCAAAGATGTCATCCATAAGAACTCTCAGACCTATACACTTGAACTTGGAAACAATTTTCTAACCTGTTTAAAAAACCTTCCAAATGAAGAGTTTTAGTGGGGTTTTAATACATTTCTAAAAACCACAAAAATTCAAGACATTCAAGTTAGCTTGCAAGAACAACTGATTGACATCGGGGAAGACGGAAAGTTAGTAGCTGAAATTTAACAAACACCATTGCATAATTGGTGGATGGGACTGAAAAATAAGCATCATGATTTAGTAAGCAGGGCCAGCAAAGCACTTCTTCCACTAGGAACTATGTATCTGTGTGAGGTATCTTCATCAGCAATGACAGCCATTAAAACCAAGTAACAAATAAATTGAACTTAGAACCAGACCTCTGAATCTCTGCACCAGTGTTAAACCAAGATTTTAAAACATAATGAAACATATTCCACAGCATCACTTATTTTCTACTGACAATAAAAAGATATTTTGTACCACTAATAAAAATATTTTGAATTGTTTACTTAATCTGTATTGTATCTTTTTTATTTTCTGTGATGTATTCTACTAGTACAGCAGTACATGTACGTAATTTATAAAAATATATTTGCATGCTCAAAATACTTTTTTGCATACAGCTCTAGGTTCGCCAGCACAAGAAAAGACAGGGACCTGTTAGAGGGGGTCCAGAGGAGGGGCACAGAAACAGTCAGTCAGCTGGAACACCTCTCCTATGAAGAAGGACTGAGTTGGGGCTGTTCAGCCTGGAGAAGAGAAGGCTCTAGGGAGACCCCTTCAGTATATAAAGGGGGCTTATAAGGAAAAGAGAGACACATTTTACCCTGTGGTGACAGGACAATGGACAATAGTTTTCAAGTGAAAAGGGTAGATTTAGACTACATCTAGGAAAAAATTAATTACTGTGAGGGTGGTAAGGCACTGGAACAGGTTGACCAGAGAAATGGTGGATTCCCGTCCCTGGAAGTGTTCAAGGTCAGGTTGGACGTGGCTTTGAGCAACCTGGTACAGTGAAAGTTGTCCCTGCCCCATGACCTTTAAAGGTCCCTTTCAACCCTAACCATCCTGTGATTCCAAGATTTTACTTCAAAAATTCAATTTTGATCCATTGCTGGAATATTATTAGCAGCAATAACTTTGACACCTGCTATTTTTAACACTGACATACTGTACGATAAAGTTCCACACCAAGTTTAAGTCATTCTACACTGGGATCACGCAAAACCTATTTGATTGCAGTCTGGCCTGCAGCAAAAATAAAATATCCAACATAAAAGCCAAGGTCTGAATTCCAAGTAATTCAAAGTAAAAGAAACTCGTAAGCATCATCACAATAAGCATCTTAATTTTGTAGTACTGTTCAGAGCAGCAATGCCTTTTTTTTTTTTGTTAAACACTCTTTCCACTTCTTTACCCCACTGGACAGCATGTCCGACCCCAAATGGTCTTCTGAGCAAAGCATGCTTTTCACCACTCTTGATGACACAGACACAACAGTGCAACAGAATTCAGGTACTGCAATCAAGCACTAGGATTAAACCGCTTCTGTTCTGAAGCAGGGAAGGTACAACAGTGAGCATGGAAGAATACACACTTAGACATGAAACCTAGAAAGCTTAAGGTGCAGATTTATTATGCATTAGGAAGCTTCTTAACTTAAAAACCAAACCGCATAGTACAAAAGGTCTATCTCTGCTCAGTGTGGAGTAAGTTTCAAAATATATATTTTTAAAATTTGTTCAGTCAGTACACAATCCTTTTAAAAAACTGTATATCTGTCAGTACCCTCATTACATTTATAAATACATGATTTACACAGCACTCCACCTGGAAAAATTAAAACTCCTTACAAATATCTACATATATTGCATCCATACGAAACATTCATAGGAGTACTTCGTTAAAGTTCATTTCAATGGTCCATTTACACTGCAGCAAAATACATATAAATCTGTGTATTTTTCATAAAATGTCTCTAAAAATTAGCACATTTGTAGCCATTCGTAACTTTTAAAGCATCTTTTAGAAAGGAAATTTGATATGAATATATCATGAGATTCGGCACACAAAGACAGTGATATGAAGGCTAAATATGATTAATAACTGAACACTAAGTAGCAATTAAGGCAGGGGTGAAAAGAATTAATAGGAAATATTATTTCATATGGCAAATAAAGTGACAAAATACAATAAATACACATATTTCTTGATGTAAACTACACTGGCACCCACTGTTCTTCCTGCCTCAAAAGTCAGGAATATCCATATTTCTGACACTGCTCATTTTATAAGTAAAATCCTATTTTTTATTAGCAAAACTTTAATGTGACCAAGGCTCTCAGGTGCCAACTGGATTTGCGTTTAACTGCTCAGAACTCACTGTTCTGGAATGTGGGTTTAAGACTTCAATATGACCTTCATTTATGGGTAATGACTGTCATGTGTGATCACACACCCTCAGAAGGTATCTCAGTTTCACCACTGCTTTCTGGTAACTACTGGACTCCTCATTGCTAAATGTTTGAGAATGTGTTTTCAGCAGATTTAATTACTTCTACTGATAACCATTGTTTCAGACACCAGGACTATATAGATCAGTCCCTCTCACATCGTGAGGACCACATGTGGCATACACACAGACAAAAGGCATAAGAAACACAAAACAACCTTTAACAGCGGCAGCAGAAACCGTTCTGCGTCACAACCAGTTATTTTGCATACAACTTTGGGAACTGAACATTCAAACCTTAAAAAAAAAAATTCATTATGTCTGTATATTCGGGTTTCTACCCAGCACCGGGATTTGACACAGCATTTGCAGTCCACTGTTGGGCAGAATCACACCTGCTTGCGACCTGCCACACTAAACAAACCCTCCTGCAAGTATGGTATCAACCTCGAGTATCATATAGCATGTGACCTTCTCTCCTACACCACTGCCTTCCCTTCAGAGGCCAGACACTCTGTACATTCCACCAATCTTCCAGACACAGTGCATGAATTTGTTCCACAGTCTCTTCAGAAGTTAGGCTTCACACACTGCTATCTTGTAGCAATGGCTCAATGTCCTCTTCTCTAGTTTGGTCTAGGTTGTTACTCAGAGTACCGCCGATGCTGTTGCTGTGTTTTCTGGTACTGCTGGCTTTGCTGTGCTCCGGAATAAATAAGGCGACTAGAAAAGCCAGAAGAACAATGCATGCTCCAACCAGGAAGGGCGGACCAGGAATGACTGCTCTCTGTGGGGAAACAAGCGTATCAAAGAACTCAAGAAGTTTTACACATTGACATCTGCATTAAGAACTATACCATTAAGGCAGGAGGTAATGGGAGACATGTTTACAGCTGACTATAAAGTTTAAGCAAACAAATTCATATGTGCACTGCAACATGAATTTTCTGCATCTACAATCCCTAAGAATTCCTCACCTGATCTGCGCCCTGATCTAAAAAACAGAAACATTCACAGAACTACAAATTGACAACAGGATTGACCAGCAGATGAAACAGATTTTGAGTGATGCTTCTTTGTAACATATTTTTGTTAGGCAACACGCCTGTTAAATCAGCAGGACTCCACTGAAGATTAATAGCGTAACTTTTCAACATCCAGAAGTACAAATGCTCAATAAGTCTTTAACTTCACTTTTTCCACTTGCTTCCACAGCTCGCATACTTTAGAATCAAGTTAGCTGAATAAACAAACACCATTTAAAACGTGAGGAAAGTAACAGCAGGCTATACAGTATGTACCGTTCTCACTGCAGAAACAGGTTGCTGGCACATATAACAACTTTGTATTTGGAGTTATTCTCTCTTGCCTCTAAGCAGTTTATTTTAAAATTTAAAATACAACTAGTGCACATTTCATAACCACAGTTAAAAAAAAGCATCAGAAATAAGACTAATTTTAAACCAGTTAAGTTTGATGACAAAACTCTACTCAAAGAAAGCACCAGCAAACCAGTAATTTTTTTTTTTAACCTTAAACAATTTTCCTTACTTTTGTCAACTAAAACGAAATAAAAATCAAACAATTAAACTTTTCAAGCCAGGATATTTCCCTTGCTTCAACTCTTGTTACAAGTAGAAGTCTAATCTTTCAGCTGGTGATCTCTAAATCTAAAGTATATAATCATATTAAATTTATTTTAACAGTATTGCTTAAATCTTGAAGTTGTGCCAAGTCCACAAGTACTTAAAGATTTTAACAAACTTCCACAAATTAATATACTTATTTGCAGTGTATCTGTTGATTTACCTGAAAAGTTTTTGCATATTCTACTGTTGCAGTTTCATTGAACAGAGTAAGAAGTTTTGAAAAATAGTCCTTACTCCTCGCATTGCCAAGTGTTATTATCACTCTCCAAACACCACCTATGACTGCACTGTTTGCTGTAAGAGCTCCCCATGGATAATTATAATGATGCAACCTCACCCTCGTCTTCTCTCCAGTTTTGAAAACAGTTATATAAATAGGAATTAAGATAGATATGCCTAACTTTTACTATTTATGCTCTGTAGAGCAGATACACAATCTTTCTTGAATAGGTGCATCAGATCTTTTCTTAGACAGAAAAAAAATCACAAGAGTGACCTGTGGTAGCATTGCAGCTCTCCCACTTCCATGAGAAAAAAACCCGAAGTGACAGTCACCAAAATACTGTTCTCAAGTCCTCTCCAGTAACATAAACGAATACTTAAAGGCAAGTCAAAAAAAAAATTTATGGTCAAGCTGTTTAAAAAGCCACCAGAAATGACCAGTAGGTTACTCTGTATGTTAAATAACTGAAATTTGCATCCAGACTTTCCTGTCGCCACTGTTTGAATATGAAGGTTTACAAAATCACTATATCTAACACTTTGTTTTAGCACTCTGTCCATCAGTGAACACAGAAGGCTTTATATCTGAAAGATACCATACTAAATTATGACATTAATCAGCTTCACTGTTAAGTTAAACTTTTCTTTTTAATAGGATAAGACAGCTTTCTCTCAAAGTAAAATGTGTCAAAAGTTACACAAACAAATTTATTCTTCACATTAATAATTCTAACAACACCTGTACAAATAACTTATCTCTGATAACAACTTAAAAATCTATTTTCTGTAGTTGCAGTAACACATACTATAACAAAGCAGGAAGAACTGTTTTTAATTTACTTCAACAGCACACTGGGTTTGATCAAGGTTCAGTACAGTAACTGTGCATTCTCAGCTGAGTACCTGTAGACTCACTGTATTTGACAGGCAGTGGGAGGATACAAGCTTAAGCGTTAAAAAAAACAAAACTAACAATGTCACAGACACATATCAGTTAAGTGCAGTTCCACAGACATCCTGTAACTTTTTAAAACAAGGTACTCGACCATTTAAACTTGTTATTACAACACTTCTTAGTGAACATTTATTGGCATTTAATAAAATCAAGAAAATATTTTTCAAACTATGTATACCTGTTAAGCAGCTCTTAGTTATCAGTTTAAAACACTCAACAAAATCAAGAGAGAAGCAGCTTGCATTTGCGCCTTGCAAATCCAAGGTACTAATACTAGGGTTGTAAGCTAATTTTGTACACATTTGCTAATTTCTTTGTATAATCTTGGTACATTCCCTGGTTTTCACTTCCATTCATCTTACTTATATCAACTTCTAAAACAATGCAATATTTAAATTGTGGAGTTCTTTCCCACTATCTTATTAGACAAGAATTAGTAGGAGAAAAATTGTACTGTTATTTTCCTGAATGACAGTTTTACCTGTTAGGTGACTGCTAACTATTAACAGAGAGAGATGTAACTACAGACATTTAAACAAAGCTTATGTTTAATTATATGTGTGCTCATAAGAGCAGTCCCACTGAAATTAGAATAAAACCAATCTTAGTTAGGCATGTACGTACTGATTTTGCTGTACTGCTAACTAAGAAATGTCTACTTAATAAGTAGGTTTTCAAGAAAACAAGGACATCTGAAATGACAGTTTCGTTTACACTTACATCTTAGTAAAATCTTTTTTTATGAGGAAGCCCATACATTAGGCTTCAGCGCAGCAACTTCTACCACAAGCTTTAGCAAATTCCACAACAGAAGTTTGGACTCGTTTACAACTTATTGGAACAGTCAGTTGCTCACTGCAATACACCTGGGCTACTTCAACAAAAAAAATACATGGATATTCTTAAGTAACAGAACATACTGAAACTACTTGGAACAGAAATGTGTGTACAAGGTCAAATAGCCAACACACTTCCTGCCCAAAGAATAGCTTCTGTGACTCAATGCTTTAAAAAACAGTTCAAGAGTGAAATTTTAACCAGTGGAACCATGACAAAGCTCTTGAAAACCTGAAATCGTGACTGTAAAGTTTTTCCCATATTTTACTACAGTTTCCTTTTTGTACAAGAGAGAGTGTCTTTGGCTCTGCTACTCTAAAACTCTACGCGGTTTGCTTGAGCAAATTATGGAGCACCTCACCATAGGCACAGCAGTGAGCAGTATGTTCAAGCACTGGTTACAGTTAATAGCAGGAAACATGCACAGACTGGGGGACAAACAAAGTTCTTCCCCCAGTAACAGCCACCAGTTATTTACTGATTCAACTAATCGGCTGTCTGTCTTAATCAGCTTAACGACAAGCTGAGAGATCATCAGCTCTCTGAAAAGTCCATTCTTAATACGTAGAAAAAAGCAATGAAATTCTAGCTGAAGAGGTCAGAACAATCAAGCTAAAAAAAAATGGGGCCATAAGATTCTCCAAACTCTGGTAAGTATATATTCGATATTTTGGAAGCCAAACAGGAAACAACAAAGCAGACAAAAATGCACACCTGAAATAAAGACGGAAGGGACACAAGAAAAGACTGAAAAGAGTTCCAAAGAAACGTTGTATAGGATTGACTTCTCCCCTCCAAATTTTATACAGGCAAAGAAAGGAGATGAACAGCATTGTTGATGTTCACTGAAAAAGAAGTACATATCTCAACTGTATGCTGAATTACTGTATAAATGAATAATTAACTTCTTGCTGTGAGGTTCAAAGATAAGCTTATTACAATATACTGACTTACCAAAAATGACCTTAATATTGTCAAAATTTCATGTTTTTCTGTAAATCAGGATTACAGCTGTGTTTTGAGTAGAATTACATCAAAAGAAGTTAACTCGTTCCATTAAAATACCAAAACCAAAAATGCTACTACTGTAAATCTAAATATTTACTATCAAATTTAAATTATAAACTATCTTAATATTTCAATAAAGCTGACAAGTGAGAATGAAATAGTTGAAGAAAGAGATATCAAGATTGTAAATCAACCAAAGATGACAGATTTTACCCTTATGAGTTCTACGCTGCAAACATCACACCAAATCTTAAACTTACCTCTTCACTGGGATCCTGCATTGGTTTTTTTTCAGAAGACTGGTCAAGTGGTAATTCATTGAGCTCCACATGAAAGAGAAAGAAAATAAAGCCATACAGTGCTGGTCCCAGGCCATTGCACAGACCTCTTATTCCAGTTATTATTCCTTGGACAACACCTAGTAAAGAAAAAAAAAATAAGAATAGGATTTTTTTTTTTTTTAAATCAAGAATAAAACACTCAGAGCTGTTGACTCTGAGCGTAATGTAACGGCTGTTTCCAAACAGCACATCTCCCAATTACTTCTACATACCAACATCTTAAAACATACATTGAAGACAATTTTGCTGGATTACAATAATTGTCTGCATGACCATAGTTCTGTTACTGTACTTGCATGCTACTGGAAGCAATATGAGTTTTGAATATGAGTGACCAAATCTATGTGCAAGTCTAATTTTCTGTACTAGAGTTCTTCCATCCTCACCCAAGCATGCAGTGAAGAATTTATATTCAAGTGAAATTTAGAGTAATATATGTATATGTTAAGGGTTGTTATTGACAAAATATGCACAAACTGTAATAGATTTCTTCCCTTCACCAGTCTAAAACCAGGATTTATTTCAGTAGCAAGTAACTTATTCAGGGCAGTAAACTCAGCAGTACTGCAGTACATTCACCATATAGGATTGCATGCAGTTTTACGTTAGTTTATTTTAAAAGCTTGAATAATCATAGCTCTATGGGTGTATTTCTGCTTCAACTTCATCAAGTGACTGTGACAACAATGTAAAAAGTTTTTTGATGCTCTTACAAATCAGGATTCTACAGAACACGATTTTTACAATATTAGTAGTCTGCATATCCCCTTCCTTCTTAAGACAGTAACTTGTAAAACGGCAGGAAAGAAAACACGCCAAAAGAAGTTGCCCGTGCTTTGTCTTCAATAGGCTGACATGTAAGCTTAAAATCTTTGTGCCACTAGGTGGCAAAACTTCACCATCGAAACTATTGCATGCCTGAGCTATTAGCAGTAGTGTCCTCCACATAAAATGAAAGATCAATGACTTCTGTCAACTATTAATTTCGTGACATAAACAGAAAACAAGTTCTTTTAAAACTCTTAGATGTCTCCATTAGAACAAAAATGGGGAAAAGGGGAATGCTAAAACAGCCATGTCAAATATACCATCTCCTGCACCTTTCAAACTCAATAGAAATCTGTCTCCTTAAAACTTAGAACTGCACCTCCTTTGCACCTCTCACAGTGACTGCACTCATCTAACTTCACGTTGTACAACATTAAAGCAAGACTGATACTTACAATTTATATGTACCTTTTTTTTTTAAAGAGAACACTAAATTCAGTTATTATACACCAGTGTTATACTTTGTGATGACTCCTTCCCTCAATTCATTTTAAATGAAGAGTTATTTCTGATTGTTCATTCCCCTTCACATCAAAATCAATGACTTTTTCTGTCTTCTCAGATCAACTATTCACTTAAGCTTCCTTTTCTATTCCTTGAAAATCTGAAGTATATAGCAAATAGGGCCAACATTACCACACAGAATAGGGCTTCTTGTATAGAGTTCTTTTAATCTGGGAAGATTTGTCTTAGTTTCCATTAAAAAAGATGGAACATTAACCCTCACTATCTACTTTGAGAATATTACTTTTAATAAAAAAAGAGGACAGAAAAACCATGAAAGTTACCACATCTGTTTTTGTTGCTTCTGTAGTACTTTTACAGGATGCTAGAAAAGAAGTAGCTGGTCAGACAGAAACTATGTATTTTGCAATGCAAATTTGACAAATTTGTGTACTTCCTTCCTCCCTACATAGATTGGCAGACATTCACAGCTACTACCAAAGAAACTCATTACTCATCAACATATTTGAAGCGTATACCTAGATAAGTATTCTGCTTTCTAGACTGAAGAGTCATCCATGAAAGCAGCTGGATGCTGAAACAGAAATTTAATCAATACTCACCTTGTTGATCTGACTCTGCATTTCGTGAAACCAGAGCACTGATTGCTGGGAACGTAATGCTTGACATTGCTGCTACAGCTCCTGCTGCCCACATCATCCTGTGTTAAATACACAACTTGAATTAAAAATTAAATTGCCCATATAATCACCCCCAACCTCCCCAGAAAGGGCCACAAGGGTACCCTCATTTAAGGTTTAACGACCTTTCAAAAGTACTCTTTTAAAAATACCTAAAGAGTGGAAATTATCTGGTAAGGGCCTTCTTCCTGCTCCCCTCCCACAAATTACCCTGAGCTTGTTGCAACAGAAGCGCATTTGATTCTACACTAGCCATTACAGCAGAGGAAAAGGGAGTGGGAGTGAAGTGGTGCACAGGTTTGCCTTCTCCAAAGGCTGTACAAGGAAACAATTTCACAGGGCCTCCCAGTGAGGCAGCTGTCTCTTAACTTGTACAACTCACTAGGAAGTGCTCTGATAAAGAAAAAGAATTCATCACTGTCAGTAGGCCAAACATTGTAAAGGAAAAGCTGTTCCAGCTTATGGCTCTAGTTCACTTTTCCAGCTTATGGCTCTAGTTCACTTTACCTACAGACAGTTTTTCGAACAAAAGAAGTTGCACAAAGTTTCCAAGACCAACTATCGTTATAGTAAGAGAATGACATGTTAGAAAAAAAGAAGAAAGTAGAGGTCCAGTAACTGACTGATAGAATGGATCTAGTGGAAGTACTAGAGAGAATATGCTACTTCCCAGTTTGTGAGTTCAAGAAAAAGTTTTAACCACATTTGTAGAGATAAAACTCAGTGGATCATAACAGTGCAAAGTCTCCTTTATCAAAAGGGCTGTTACTTTGGAACTTACACTACGATATCTAGAAAATTCTATCATTCCTGTATGTGCAAAAAATACAGACCAAATTTTCATAGTGTAATGCAAATGAGACTGATAATTTACAAAACATTTAAATACTCATGATGACAGAACCAAATGGTAAAATTTCTTGGGAAAAAAATTTCAGTTCCTTAACGAGTATGTACCTATGAAAATGCGTGCTTACCAAGACTGAGATCCAAAACCATACCAAGCCAACTGAAGGATTTGAAAGCCAAGGCCAAGGAGAACTGTATTTTTGTTCCCTATTGACCTCATCAACATACTGAGAAACACAGTCTGCAAGAGAAATTGGTTCATCCACAGTTATTTCAAAAAGCTAGATTGCTAAAGAAATTGCTACTTCTACACAAATTAATTCAGAAGACCTTCCAACTGCTGAGGAAATGCACCCTATGCAGGCTCTTACTTCCCCTGTATTAAGTCCACAATGCAGACTAGTCACATCAACACTTGATGTACAGACATTCTTAACTATTAAAGGGTTTCTACTTCAGGACATCGAGGAGCATATGTATCGCCTTCTCTGTGGACGTTATATCTCAGTGGCTGTTTCTACTGTAAACAGGCTTTCATTTCCACCTCTACAATTCTGTTTCATTACAGACTAGAGAGTTCCACCATAAATGCTGGTACCAGACAGTACAGGCTGGATCTGGGTTGAATTTACCAGTACCTACAAATACTTGAGAAAAAAAGGACTGTTAGCTCAGAAAAATAGTAATCTCTTAGTTCAGGTGAATTGCTCTCCCAATTTACAATTAAAACCAACAAGTAAATCCTGCTGTTTTTGCAGCTTCACCACATGCACTGAAATTTGGCCAAGGCCAATTCCTATGCAACTTTCATCACATTTTCTGCTGACTCTTTACACCACTCATACGACCTTTTAAAGTGTAGTTGGGAACTAATCCTAAAGGAACACCACTGGTTATCTGTTACAAGTGTTCTTGCTGCGGGGGAATGAGGTCCCAATTTAAATTTAAAAGTAGTACACTCGTGGCAAGAAGCAGACTGTTTCTAGGAAGGCAAAGTCCATATCGACAACTTCACTCAGTTAACAGTGCACACGTTTTTCTTTAACGTGAGAAACTCATCAGTGCACCAGTAAAAAGCCAGAGAAAAGGAACCAGAAGGATTGCAGAGTAGAGCATACTTCCTCTCTCATGTACACTTCAGTCACACTAGTCTTCCTGTTTTTCATTCTTAGACAAAGCTAGTTTCAAAGTTATATAGCAAAAATACAGTAATTCTATCCACATGTGATCAGTACTTTCTGGAGATATCCAACAAGCCAACATATATTAGTATTTATGAGCAAAGTTTATTTCAATAAGCTGCATTCTTCGAAGAGTTCAAAAACCAATGCAGTTTCCTCATTTTAACACTGAATATTATGAACTAGAAGGGCAGCCATTTTGTAGACTTTTAGCAAAAATACTGGTCTGACTAAAGTATGATTGGCAAATGTGAGTGCACATAAAAGCATCAGAACAAACCACAGAGCAAGGACTAAAATAATGACTTGTATTGATAATGAAGGACACAACTGACAACAGTAAAACTGGTAAACACTGAGGAATGTGTTGTTTACATCAGAACAGTAAGACCTGCACTTTGCTAAGGATGACAACAAGATTACAGCACATTGTACATGCCATTCCTCTTCCTGTTATCACAACAGGAAGACCAACTGTACCTATAAAGATACCAAAGATCACATTGTAAAAATTGTTTGACTTCTAAAAGGTATAAAGGACCTGCCCAAAATCCAGCTCACTGTTGCCAACGAAGAAGTATGAAAGCAATATACCAAGGCCTCACAGTTCCTCAGCCTCCATGCTGGGCCTAAGTAACTCTGGATGGACGATGTCAATACCTGCATTGTTTATACACAAGTTTGATAACACAAGCCAACTGGATAGGTGTAAGTAGCATGACTCGTTTACAGGAAGTAATATTTCCCTTTCAGAAGGCCTTGCAGTAAGTAACCAATTTCCTACACCATTTTAATTGTTTAAAGCCAGGATTCCAGTAAATTTACTGATCCAAGCTTAGCAGATTTTAGTTTCATTTTCTGATGCCCAGGTCCCGTATTTCTAAGAAAAGCAGATTTAAAGCAAGACATTCCAACCCCTACCATTCTGTGATTCTGTGATTTACACAGACTATATATGAATATAACCTTTAGTAAACACAAGATACACTGGCATTTTAAAGCATGTATAAAGTTTATAGACAAGCTTAACAGTCAGAGAGCGTGCCTCGACATTCATTATGTACTGTTTAATAAAACACTAAAAAAGAGTAAATCTCACCTGAGCTATTATAGACAAAATGCCTACCACAGCTATAAATGCCGCAATGCTAGCAGATCCAAAACCTATAACCTGAAGAGAAGCAGAAAATGTGTAAAACAAATGCCAAACACCATCCAGGACAATCACTAGCAAAGAGATAGCTTCTGCAAAGAAAGCACTGATCCCTAGTTATAATTTAAATCCATATAGGAAGTGTCCACTTCCAAGAATAATCCTTAATTCAACTGCTTGCCAAGAAATCCACACAAGGGGAAAAAAAAAAAAAAAAAAAAAAACCCCACTGTCTTAAAAAAAGGAGACAGAGGAAGTCATATATCCGGAAACTGAAGTTCTCTACCCCCTCCCACAGACCTACAAACTGCTGCACTGAATGGGAACAAAGGTCTGCTTAAGTTTATGAACACATACTTTAAGCTATGGCAGGGTTTATGCATCAGGAGTCAAATGTTACTCAGTTCTCGGCTTAGTAAAGTACCCCGCCTTTATTTTTTAAAGCCGTATTTTGCCAGAAAAGAGTTTTCTGAGCAAAGTCTTCAACAAGGAACAGGTCTTAGGGAATACTTATTTAAATATCCTCACTAAGATGTGAAGACACTAACATTTACCTGTCGCAAGTAAAGAAAAAAACTAGAATACTGGCCAGCCTCAGGCAGATAGGAGAGAAACACTGTAATGCAGATCGGGAGAACTGTAGAATCCTTTCTAACCTTCTTCAGAGACTGTGAAGCAAAGAAACAAGTATTGGAACATTTATACAAAATTTAATGAAAGCATAAAGAAAGCAGGAGGTGGATTCACTTTTTAAAAATCTATTTTTATCCACAAAGAGAAGTCAAAAAAAAAAATCATACGTGGAAACAGTTAAGCTGAACATTAAGTTAGAAACCACCCTATTATCTAAGGTTTGTGGTATTTGATTCTTCTGAAAAATTTCTGCGATTTCTGAAGCTACTGTTCAGTGCCAAATTACAAGCATTCACTGAAAACAGTATTGCATAATATTCAGGGAAATACGTAACATCTTCTAACTGATCTGCATAATAATCTGTTCTAAAAGACGCTAGCAAATAATATAGCCTCACCACAACTGTTTCTTTTCCCAAATTATGAGAGTATTTTCCCTTGTACGTTTCTTACACTTGTCCATCCATAATATGAATCATTTTGAGTAACACAAATTGTGGAAAACTCTAACTGCAGTCTTTCAAGCACGTCACTCATCTCTCAACATTCACAACCAGTTCCCAGCAGGACAAGATCTCATTAAGAACAATCACACTTTCCTCTCTTTTTTTTCGAGACAAATCAGCTGCGTAAATGTGAATAAGTGAAGACATTACTAGAAAGACTGCACGATATGTTGTAACTCTTCCTATACATGCTTGCAGAAAATTCAAGCTTTGTAGATCTATTTTATGTTAAAAACAAATCAGATATAACCAGAAGTGGAATTCAAGAGTGGGGAGTGATATTGCCAACTAAAACCACAAAGAATAAAATGAATATGGAAAAGTCCTGCAGTATCAGGTTTGGAGGTCTGTAGTAGTGTAAGAATTCACTACTTCTCTTACAATAAAATAGACTAACTAAGTTAGAAAAGGAAAGCATTTTCCCTTTGGATTTCACAGCAAACATTGTTTCCAGTTCAAGAATCATTTAATCCACAAAGTTCGGTTTGGTTTTGGTTTTTAGATGTAGCTAGACCTTTTTGTGCAAGAGCAGAGAACAGAGATTATGATGTAGTGAATAGTACCAATAAGATTAAACACCTCTCAATCTTACAACATGTCATTAATTATTATTCTTAATTAATCCTCAACTATCTGTTAATTACTTATTGAAGTGCATCTTACTGCAAAAGGGTCTGCTTGTTCCCATGATATAGAAGCTCCCCATGAAGCAGGTCTCATTTTTTCTGGCAGAGATTCTGGTACCGCTAGCAGAACGAAGCAGATGTCCACAACAGCCACCAATGTGGCCACTAGTACAACAAGGTTATCTCCGTAGCTGGCCGACAGGTATGCTCCAATGGCAGGACTAGTTACCAAACTTGCTGCAAAGGTGGCAGATACCTATGTACAAGAACAGTTTACAAACTTGTCAAAGTGGTTATTCTGCCACTGCAGAAACATGAAGTAATTTGCTCAACACCACCACCCGTCCCAAGAAACGTGGTTTTAAAAGAACACCTGTCAAAATTTAAGCTAAAAAAAAAAAAAAAAAAAAATCACTTATGACACTAAATACAGGTCCATACAAAGTTTCTCCAATCTCTCCTCCACAGCCCACCATACGAGACGGGATTTGCAGCCAAAGAGTGAGTTTGGCTTAAAGGAAAACAGCTCTTATGTTAAAATACATTAAAATGATTTTTGTTTTCCCGTTATGAATTTCATGAGATTTCACTGAAAAAGTTGTCAGCACATTTAAACGCCTGCCTAGGTGAGCCTAAGCCTCAGCATTGAGTAATACATAATGCCTTTGTTAACAGTTTGCATTTTAAATAAATATTTCCTAGTTTGCTGTGCTATCCAGTGGTAGATCACTAGCTATGACAACAGCTTCAACAATAACTGTATTGCTTCATACTAAGTTGTAGTGACATGCAGCTAACAGATCCCTCACTACATTCACATACAGCAGAACAAGATCGAAAATAGAGTGCTGTAGTTAAATTTCACTGTAAAAATCATCAGAAAATGTTACAATAAAACTAATTTGTTTGGGTTTTCTAATTACTATTCTTTTCCAGTCCCCAGTCTGCACAACTATCTTCTAGAATAAGTAAGAACACAAGGTGGAAATTTAGCTTTTTACCAAGCCAGAAAAAAAATCCTAAGGAACAGGTACAACAAGCAAACTGACTAGAGATACAGACCTTAATCAAAACACTTGCACTTACATCTATCTCTTTACAGAACCTTAGATCAAGCTATTTGTTAATAACAAATTGTTTGAAGGTAGGCAAATTTATGCTCCAAATATACTTGTGGCCCTCTTCATTGGCAGGAGGAATAAAGTTGGAATTCCAGAACATTTAACCTGTTTCATGCTCTGCTACAACAATACACACATGGTTGCTTTAAGTGAACCAAGCTCTTTATTTTCTTAACTGTTAAATCAACAGCTGAGGAATCATATGTCCCTAAAGCTAAAAATAAAGGAAAACCTTAACAGCTCAAAGTAGAGCACAGTCAACCAAAAATCAAGTCCATGAATATCCGTACAGTGAAAACAGATGCACCAAGGATGAAGGGATAAATGATGTTCAGAGGCTAAAGGCATCTACCAATGAGCCTCTAAAACCTAAACCAATACAGATATTCAAGAAAACAAACTAGGCAGGAATTGTATTATTACTGGAAAGGCTAGTTCATACTAACTGAACTGTTTTCCTCTTCTCTTGCTAATTAAGAAAGTTCATGACTAATCTACTAAAAATACTACATTATACATTTTTGCCCTTCCTGCCTCTTTTGACTATAGAAAAAAGACATTCTATATTAAAAAGAAATCACATAAACTAAAACTGCAGTTTACAGGTGATGGAAAGACATTGCCAGAGCGAGTATTAAAATCACTAGCACTGTCTTTAACAACATTTCTTCTTCTGCCTGTGAAACTTAAAACATGTTTTGTTACATGTGCTCTCTATGCAGGTGAAGTTGTCAAATTCTTCTTCTGCTCCTTCACAGTCTGTGCATCAGTAAAGTCTAAATTAGATTTCCCAAACTTCAAAGCAGTGCCTTGATGAATGGTTCATTCCTTTCTCTATCTATTCCTTTCTACTATATTTCTTTCTATATTAAACAGAAAGCAGCCTGTGCATCAAAACACAAGTTCAATACAAAGGTCATAATCTGACCTTTCTTTCAAGTTTAGCATATCTTACCAGTCCATAGGCTGTAATTCTTTCATGTTCTTGTGTTACATCAGCTACATAGGCAAATATTACAGAAAAGGTAACAGAAAAGATTCCAGATACCGAAATCATAGCGAAGTACCACCTAATGATTTAAAAGCAACAATTAGAAAGTTTAAGCTAAGACCTTTTGCTTTTCTTTTACTCATCAAGTAAGTTTGTATTTTGAGAAGTGTTCCTCAAGAACTAACATAGAGCTTTACTGGAGACAAATGATGGTGTGGCCTCATTTAAACACTGGAAAACAGATTTTAATTTTTACATTCTACAGTTTACCTCAGCCTAAAAGAAGAAGTGGCCCCTTCAGGACACGGTACCTATACATTTTTACACTCTCCAAGCTGAAGCAAGTTCAAGCTATGACAAAGGAACTACCTTAGAAGTCAGTTTCTCAAGCAGTTAAGGAATAAACTATCATATATAATGCTTCGGATGCTGGAGTCTGAATGCACTCAGTGTACACAGAGTTCTTCTGTAATCCTCTCAAGTTTCACAACAAATGTAAATGAAACTGAAACCAAGTCAATTCCACTCGGTGAAGACTTCAAAGTTGCCTAATCAAAGAGTTAAAATATCCCATTTGCAGCAGTTATACTTTTGGTGACCAATGAATTCTAAGGTTCCTTTAGCTCTAAAATGGTTTATTACAGCATTGTCAGTCCTCAAGGGGAAAAAAAATAACAGCTGAGCTTAACACTGAGTTAGACAGGCCTATCAAACCTTTTCAATTATTGTTACACTTGTGTGAATACAGCAACTAAATCACATTCCATAATTTCTAATTTTAAGATACACAGTTTTAACACCTCTTCAACAGAAAAGCTCCAGAATAATGCAATTATATTTTTTTAAAAAAGTGGCTTTCCTCTTGTCTCACTGTCTGTCCCCCATTTCCCCAAACTATTCTGACTGAAAGCTTGCTACTGCGGTCTGTACCACTTACCATGGATTTATTCTCATTAATGGAATTGGAGCGCAGGTGAAGAAAACTGTAAGAAGAAGAAAAGATTTTCTTCCCCATGCATCTGATAGAGCACCTATTAATGGAGCGCTGAGAAAAGACAAAAAACCCTGCAACAGAAGAAAAATAGTATGTCTACATTTACATTTCCAAGTTTCACTTTAACCACAATATAAAAGAGGACTAAAATCGCAATTTGAGTTGAAATTAAATACAAAATTGTAGATAACTGAAATTATACACAATTTTTCTACATTCTACTCCTCTGTGACTCTGATGTTTTACGTTTCAAACCTATTAATCCTGAGTGCATTAAAAAAAAGGCATACATTTTTTCAAGATCAATTTGATTCAATAGAGAAGCACCACAGACCGCAAAAGCTTCATAAAAATCTCCAAAATCTACAATCTAGTTTCACAGAGCACATCATCTTAGTCTCTATCACAAGACTTAGTGTTAGATCCCGAACCCAAATTCCCCTCTAATTTGGACTGTCCTAAGGGAGAGTTCTCAGTAACTTAACTGTTCTCCGAAACAAATTAAACAGAACACTTACTGCTTTTTACTACACCTTTATCATGTACAGGACATTTATACATTGCAAGAACTATGAGGACCATTTGAGCAAGCTTGACAACTTGAGACAGTGGAACACCATAATGATACTCTAGCGGCAAAAGTCAAGTTTACAGGTAAAGTTGTCAATGAAAAAACTGACTGAGAATCAAACACTAGATTTTTCAGCATTTCATAAAGTCCTAGAATCTAGGCCTCAAACCTGTTCTGTATTATACAGAAGAATTTAAATAAACAAAGCCTTTCACAGGCTTGTTAACTGCAAAACCTCCAGAACAGATGCATCTTTCTCCTAATTAGTATATTGTTCTCTCATCAATCCAACTCTGACGTAAGCCCAAACATAAGTAAATACATGGTTCCATAAGTACCTCAATACACTGGATGTCTACTGAAGCTAACTTAAGCTAACCTCTGGTATTCAAATATAATCAGCTTCAAGTTTAACATAAGTGTACAGCCTACTGTACTAAATCACTATTTTGCCAAATCCCAATATACAACTCTTATTCCAATGATTTGAGTACATAAATTGAGAGCAAAAGCTATAAAGCCAGACCATCGGATCCTAAGAAAGTTAGATGCCTTAGTTATAATTAATGTTTTTGCTCCTTGGAGTGAGATTTCAGTAGAGTATGAACTAACAGATCTTGCTAACTGTCACCCAAAAAACTTTTGATGTTTCATAAACAGCATTCAAAAAAAACCACTGAACTCTAAACTCACTCTGGTCTATGCTCCCCAGTTTATTACACCTGTTAGAGCAATACATACATTTAGACCATGATATTAATGCACTTTTCTACAGGTGTGCTCTGTAGAAAACATGAGGAACCCTTCATGCACTACTTTTCACTCCTAGTTACACTGTACTGTGAACAAACAGAGTTGAAAGAAAACACAAAGAGGAAAACGAACTTTGTTTTTCTAAGAGAATAATGAGAAGTTAACTTCCTCTTTCAGTTTGAGACATCCCAACATCCCTGGTACATGTCTAGTCCTGCCACTCAACCATGAAAGATATCAAGACAGCAAGTCCATCCTAAAGATGTCACATTCTCATAGCTAAAAATAACACCTTAGATTTGTTACAGAATACAAAAGCTAAGTGCTTTGAAGCCTTTCAGTAAGCCTGTTAGCAAAGAAGAGACTTTTGAGTTTTAGTTAATGCTAGAGAAATTTTGCAAGCTTTTTTTGTGGGAACAATCCAGCATGATCACTGTGTGAACGCAGTGGTACAAGTCAGCTATTAACGTGCCCTGAATATCTTGACCATCACAGAAGGCTCAAAAACTGACAAAAAAAAGACCGGGGGAGATGGGGAGGGTGGGAAATAAACAACCCTGCTAAAAATTAGCTTTTATACCACATCTTGGACAAAATCACAGTGTTTAAGTACTTCATTTTTATCTCAATGATATCATCATAGCTGTATTAATCTGCATTTGATATAAATCATCTAACATTAGGAAGCAGACATTAAAAACCTAGCTCCATTCTCAGAAGGATCCTTAACAAGATTACAACAGCTACAACTGGTACCTATTCAAGTGAGAGGAATTTAAACTTCTGAGATACATTCCACTTGTTTCAAGATGCTACCATTTAGCAGTAAATCTTGAACAGCGCCCAAGAACACAACCATTAAAATGAAAAAATAGTTTAAGAATTTATTACATTCTCAATGTTTTGCATGTTCTTATGGTCAATGCAGGAGAGAAATTACAGTACAGAACACACAGAATATATAGGTCAGAGCTTTCAAAAAAAAAAAATCTTACCTTAACACCTTGAATAAGACCATTCATTAAAAATGTGTGATGGGAAAACGTTTCATGTAAGACCTGATGGGGCAAAAAAAGCATTACTTGAATCAGGAGAGACAGTAGAAAGCTGATGCAAAGCTTAAATTTGATTTGTAAAACAAGATAGCTTTACTGGGATTTGTTCAAAAAGCGTCTTATCCCAGAATTATACTCTTATTTGTCCTCATGAGAAAATATTGACAAGATTTACTATCAATTTATTGGCATAAATTCCCCTGTTGGCACAGACCGCACTGTACTGCAGAGATAGCTTGATTTTGGTTTGGGGTACTATGCTTAGACAGGGGATCACGTAAGCAAAAAGCGTCTACATGTGGTACAAATCACAGAATTTTTGAGGTAGGTAGTTCCTTCAAAAGGTTGACTTAATCGTTGTTACTAATCAGGAGTGAAAATGAGATTGAGCTAACTTAGTCTGTCAAGAAAGAAACAGCGCTATATTTACATCTGCCCCAAAAGGCAGTGTGCAAACAATTTCTGAATGAATTGCAGGTATTCTGTAGTCATTCAGTTAGAAACACTGCTGATGAGCAAGTATTTGCTTCTAAATACTACCAACAGTTCTGAATGTTTCACGTATGCTTTAAGTATAGCCATGAATTTATCTAAGGTGCTTTACCAGCAGATTTAATTCAAGGGCAAGCATGTTAATCTATACTAAACAGATTTACCGTAAATATGCAAGAGAATTAAAAGGCCTCACAGGTGCTACTGTGTTGATTAGAAAAGTTATTGCAATCATCAAAGCGTGTATGCACACATATTTCAAATTCATTTGCTTTTTTTTACCTATAAATAAGTGCCAACAACTACTAAAATTATTTATATGCATATTGAGAAAGCCACTAGCCTGAGGAAACACAGTATTTTGTGTCACTGAAAAATATCAGCATCATTTTTCAAGGATGACTGAGATACTCAAATCACAGGTTTAGTAAAGGTACTTGTTCCCATGTTAACTACTGGTCAGATAATTCTACTTATTTACAACCCTTTTCCCTTTTGATCTCATCTTCTGTTTAGATATTTAAAACAATTTTGCACCTGTTTGACCACTGATCGCATGATATGAATAGAGAAATAAAAGCCAAGGTTCCAATTAGAAATCTAGAAAGCAGATGTCTCCCAAATTAAAAACAAAAAAGGGCAAGCAGGAAGCTCACAGACATAAATCTAATTACCTTTCATTAAAGTGTTTCCCAGTATTTTTCCTGGGATGCAACCACTGCTGATATTGGTTCAAGCTTTTGAGATTAATTTCCGTTACTTCATGGACATGAGAAATGCAATTGGATAAACTGGTAGAGGGAATTGCCTTACTGAAGTTCTACCAATAGAAATATTTACGTATTCAAAAAAAGGATGATACTGAAGACAGAATATGCCATAAAGTGATTAATATTGCTTCTGGTGATTCACTAATATTAGCTTACAAGTCCCTAAAGAAGAGTAATGAGCATAGCTTTGGGCAGTCTGTAAGCACAATAGCCCTTGTGTGCTTTACAAACATTTTAAATCTTTTTGTTCTCTAAGCGTAGTGTTATTTAACAAACACTACAGCTTTGCTGACAGCTGTCAAAAGAAGTGAAAAAATAAACTAAAAAATTAAATTTAAGTCTCAGCCATCACAGAACACAAACCATTTTCGTAATACACAATGCAACATTTTAATCTGATTGAATGTTGGCAAGGACCCAGAGAATCACACCACCACCACACAAAATTTGAGTGATCACGAGCTTTGATCAACAGGCCACAGAATCACAGAATCACAGAATAGTAGGGGTTGGAAGGGACCTCTGTGGGTCATCTAGTCCAACCCTCCTGCTAAAGCAGGGTCACCTACAGCAGGCTGCACAGGACCTTGTCCAGGCGGGTCTTGAATATCTCCAGAGAAGGAGACTCCACAATCTCCCTGGGCAGCCCGTTCCAGTGCTCCGTCACCCTCAGAGGGAAGAAGTTCTTCCTCATGTTCAGACAGAACTTCCTGTGCCTCAGTTTGTGCCCATTGCCCCTTGTCCTGTCACTGGGCACCACTGAAAAGAGCTTGGCCCCATCCTCCTCACACCCACCCTTCAGATATTTATAAGCATTTATTAGGTCCCCTCGCAGCCTTCTCTTCTTCAGGCTGAACAAGCCCAGCTC